AGACCATTCATCCAGGTAGGCCATATTCTAGGCCATAAAACAAGTTTCAGTAAATTTTGAAACATTAACAGCTCACAGAATATATTCTCTGAAAAATTTTGAACCATAGTTATATGTCAAAATCAAAAAAATAAATACAAATTAAAAAGAAGTATATTCTGGCAGGGCGTGGTGGCTCACACCGAATCCAGCACTCTCTGGAGGCCAAGGCGGGGCGGCTGGCGAGGTCAGGAGTTCGAAACCAGCCTGAGCAAGAGCAAGATTGCGTCTCTACTAGTAAATAGAGAAAAATTAATTGGCCAACTAAATATATAAAGAAAATTAGCCGGGCATGGTGCGCATGCTTGTAGTCCCAGCTACTCGGAGGCTGAGGCAGGAGGATTACTTGAGCCCAGGAGTTTGAAGTTGCTCTGAGCTAGGCTGACGCCATGGCACTCACTCTAGCCTGGGCAACAAAGTGAGACTCTGTCTCAAAAAAAAAAAAAAAAAGAGACTCAAGAAAAGAAAATGTGAAACTAGAAACACAGACATTGTAAATAAAAAGAGCACAAACTTACCAACATGCAAGATCTCAGAGAATACTGTTCCCAAGCTGCTTCCTGAGGAATCTAGGAGAGCATGAGCTTCTGCCAACCAAAATAAGTAGAATGCCTGAAGGACTGGAGGTTAGTATTAAATATTATACAAGGTTACTTGTGGAACTAAAACTACATAAAGGCTAAGGGGGAGCGAGTATGGTACATAGTGATGTAATATATGCCCAGACAATTTAGATTTACTATAAAAAAATTTTAATGAGGTGGAGAATGGGAAGTGTCTTAGCAAAATACTTTTTAAACCTTTTCAGTGATCATATTGGTGGTAGTGTTAATATTGTTATTCTAAGAGTGCTTTGTGTATAGTATAAAATAAATGACCAATTATGGAATATTCTAATTCTATCATCTCCTGTGTCCTTGAAAACTAGGATTCTTGGTATGGAAGAAAGGAGCTAGAGAAGAAAGAAGCCAGGAGCCAACTTTGTCTTTTTTGTTTTTTTCTTTCTTTCTTCTTTTATATTATACCTCTAATCAACAGAGTCCACAGCAGCCAACTTTGATGAGATTCCACTGGCCAAAGTTGAGGCAGTTGGCACTTAATAATGATACTATTTCTGATGAATTGAAACCCATAAAAAGTATATAAACCCATAAACTCATACTATTTTTTAACTGGTCAACTTTGGAAGATGATAGGGATTCAATTCATTATTTTGAAAACTGGTGGAAAAAGAATGAATCAAACATTTACTCTGGCTTTCCTATGTGAATTATGCCACTCAAAAAACAAGTAGTAGATGAGAGGAAATTTCTCTTTATGTTTCAACTAATCAATAAAATGAAATTATAGAAATAAGGGCACCATTTTGCAATCCCTAATGAATTAATAGATACAGGCAACACTTGGGAAAAAATCATAAACATAGAAACAACTAGATTTATATGCCTCCTATAGTCTTGCCAAGGGAATCAAATCTGAGTCTGATTCAGCCTCTAGCTCTGGCTACCAATTCGTAGGAAATAATGAGCAAACAGGAACATCTAGAACTGCATCATGAGTATGTAATCAGCAAAATCCAGACTGTGGTAAACTCTATAAGTTGACATAGGAAAATGACTCCCAATGCTGGAAGCCACTTGAAGTCCAAGTGGGTCCTTGGCTTCAAGCAAGAATTCATGAGTGAGCCAATAAAATAAAATGAAAGCAAGATTTATTCAGAAACTATAGAAAATTAGAAAGTATAGCCAGGCACAGTGGCTCACACCTGTGATCCTAGTACTCTGGGAGGCTGAGGTGGGCAGACTGGCAGATTGCTTGGGGTAAGGAGTTGGAGACCAGCCTGAACAAGAGTGAGACCCTATCTCTATTAAAAACAAAAACATTAGCTGGGCTCCGTGGTGTGCATCTGTAGTCCCAGCTACTTGGGAGGCTGAGGCAGCAGGATTGCTTGAGCCCAGGAGTTTGAGGCTGCAGTGAGCTACGATGACACCATTGTACTCTACCCAGGGTAGACTCTATCTCAAAATAAATAAATAAATAAAAGTTAAAGTCTACTTCACAGACAGAGCAGAGCAATTCTCCCTGCAAGAAGAGAATCAGCCCCCTGCAGAAACTATAGAACATCTACTCCACCAAGTAGATCTGCCCCTCTCCCCTCCCCAGAAGAGAACAGCCTATTGCAGAGAAGGAGGAGACTTGTGTAGAGGAAAATCAGCTTCCTGGTTCCTGTTGCCTTTCTATTGAAGCAACAGGCTAAACAAGGGGAGGAATATTCATGGTAGGCGTGGTGTTTCTCCACCATTTTGGTTCTAACTGGTTGGAAATTGCTTTGCTTCCATCCTGTTTTGATAGGGCAATTTGAAACTTTGGAGACTTCCTGACTCAGTTAGGCAATGTCTGCAGCAACGCCCAAAGCAATGCCCAAGACATCACTTGTGCAATGCCATACCCAAAGCAGTACCTGCCAGTTCCCTGTCTCAAAATGGCCCAGAATCTTCAACAAATAAATTGTAAGGAATTAAGAAAAGGATTGTAAGGTTTTTCGACGGCTGCAAAAAGAAAAGACAGGCCGGGCGCAGTGGCTCACGCCTGTAATCCTAGCACTTTGGGAGGCAGAGGCGGGCAGATTGCTCGAGCGCTCCGGAGTTTCAGACCGCCTGGTAAGCAGCCGACCCGTCTCTATATAAATCCGAAGCAATTACACTGGCAACTAATACTATATAGAAAAAATATACAGGACGCCTGATGGCACATGCTGTACGGTACCAGTCTCGGGAGGCCTGGACAGGAGGTTGCTTGAGCATGGAGTTGGTGGTCTTGCTGATCGAGCTAGGCTGACGCCATGGCACTCACTCTAGCCTGGGACAACAAGTGAAGACTCTCTCTCAGAAAAAAAACAAAGAAAAGAACAGCACAAGAGAGAAAGAGTAGGGCGGCCAAACTCTGGCTTTATTATCACACTCCTGAAGACGCTTCATGGGGCCCAAGAGAGGGGGCCCGAGTCCGCCTGCGTTATGGAGGGGCCTCTGCGGACCTTTATGTCCTTTCGGGCCTGGCTATCCAGGGACTTTTGGCAGAGGAGGAGCCTGGGGAGTTTTCCATTGTACCTTGGTGGTTACTGAGAACCGGGACTAGAGGTATTTGTGGATCAGGAGCCAAAATGTTCCTTTATCCAGGGTGCACATTGGGTGGTGGATCCTCGTCCAGCGTGGGCTGGCAGTTTTGGTCACTCTGGCAGGTCCTGATCTCATGAGCTTTGTTTTTTGATTACGGAGACGGGGGGCCGCCACCAGCCTTACAAAGTCGAAAACAGACTGTATACACAAGAGGACTTAAAGACACTCAAATCGCTTTTATTTGTTTTTTTTTTCAGGAACAGCCTCTCACATTTTGTATGCCCCCCAGGCTAGAGTGCAGTGCCTTGGGTCACTAAGCCTTAACAGCAATCTCAAACTCTGGGCTCAAGCATCCCTCCTGCTCCGACTCCCAAGCTAGCCTGGCATTACAGGCATGTGATTTTTTGTATAACCTATACCACATATTAGTTGCCAATTAATTAATGGTTTTCTATTTATAGTAGCAGACCGGGGCGTTCGCTGCTTAGCCTCAGGGTGGTTTCGAACTCCTGACCTTGAGCAATCCACCCGCCTCGGCCTCCCAGAGTGCTAGGATTACAGGCGTGAGCCACTGTGCCCAGCCCAATTGCTTTTAAATGGATAAAACTAAAGCTACAGGCCAGGCCTATAATCCTAACTTTCTGGGAGGCTGACGTGGGAGGATGGCTTGAGGTCAGGAGTTCGAGACCAGCCAATCTACTAAAAAGAAAAAAAATAGAAAAATGAGCTGGGCTGAGGTTCCTGTACCACCAGCTACTCGAGAGGTTGAGGTGGCAGGATCACCTGAGCCCAGGCATTCAAGGATGCAGCGAGCTATGATGGAGCCATTGCACTCCAGCCTAGGCAACACAGGGAGACCCTGTGTCTAACAACAGCAAAAAAAGAAATGATAAATGTTTGAGATGATGAATCCACCAATTACCCTGATCTGATCACTCATATTATATGTATCGGAACATCACTATGTACCCCATGAATAGGTACAATTATTTGTCAGTTAAAAAGAATAAAATGAAAACAACTTTTTAAAAAAGTTTATTGGAAAATTAAATATCAACTATATTATATTAAGAAATTATTAAATTTTTAGGTACAATAATGGCAATAAAAGTTTTTCTCTTTATAGACACATACTAAAACATTTACAGATCAATTGGTATGATATTTGGTCTTACTGGAAAATAATCTTGGTTAGCTGAGAGTAGTTGAAGGAATAAATGAACCAAGACTGGCCATGAGTTGGTAAGTATCAGAGCTGGGTGATAGGTACCTGGGAATTCATTACACTATTTTTTTTTTTTTTTTGAGACAGAGTCTTGCTTTGTTGCCCTGGTTAGAGTGAATGCTGTGCCGTCAGCCTAGCTCACAGCAACCTCAAACTCCTGGGCTCAAGCAATCCTCCTGCCTCAGCCTCCCAAGTAGCTGGGACTACAGGCATGTGCCACCATGCCCGGCTAATTTTTTCTATATATATTAGTTGGCCAATTAATTTCTTTCTATTTATAGTAGAGACGGGGTCTCGCTCTTGCTCAGGCTGGTTTCATACTCCTGACCTTGAGCAATCCGCCCACTCGGCCTCCCAGAGTGGTAGGATTACAGGCGTGAGCCATGGCGCCGGGCCTTTCATTACACTATTTTCTCTACTTTTGTAAATGTTTAATATTTTCTATTATGTAAAGCAAAAATAACTGCGAATTATTAAAATACATTAAATATATAAGAACTACAGGTCCATAGCAACAACTTTAAAAGAGAGTGAAACAAAACCAAACCATTCAACACCATTAGAAGTTGCTAGGATACCAACTACTTAGAAAATGATAAGTAAAGGAAGAGATTCAAGCATTTATCTTGCCATTCTGGTATGAACTTTATTTCAGGGTAACCAAATAGTCTCAGAGAATGTGAAAAAGGTTTTCTGTGCAGAATTAGAGCTAATAAATGAAGAAAAAATAATAGCCTTAGAAAAATCACCACTTTGTAATTGCTAGTTATAAATAATTCATGGAACCATCATCAATAGATAGTAAAACAAGTAGTTGAAAAGTTGACAGGAAACTTTATGACGCAGGGATCAGGCTATCTGACAACAGAAGGAGCCTGGGACCTGAAGTGGAAGCTGTCCAACCAGGAACATCTGTGCTGTGTGGAATAAGTGAAAAATAAATCTTTATTGTTTTAAATCACTGAAATATGGAGGCAATTCATTATAGAGCTTAGCTTACCATGAAAGTATACCATCTATATATATTATAAGACATAAGCACATCATTATATATATTTTCAAAGATACATACACATCCAAACATACCATGAAACATTTGAATGTGTGCCAATGTCAGGGAGAGGAGTGAGAATGGGGAATCAGGCATCAAAAGAAGAAAATAAAGCAAGAAAGGGGACTAGTGTCAGCTGGTGATGAGAATTCACTACACTTGAGCAGCATGGTTTAATTATTAAGAAATAAAAACAATAATTTAAAGAGAAGACAACTAATCGACCCTTTCCAGAGAGAACCCAGGCTAGTTCACCAGGAGTGTAATTATCTTAAGCCTTGAGGAGCATAGAATGGTCCCAGAGAGGATGCAGTGTTGACGACAGAGCCTGCTGGAATCCTCCACTCTGGTCACCAGGAGGGTCTCAGGCCTAAAAAGGTTCCTAAACTGAGAATTTCTCCCAGACCTCATCTTCACCCTCAGCTCTCCCTGGTGGTGATGGCTGGTGCAGGAGGTGCAGACATGGGGCCTGGACCCGCCACGTCCCCCTTGGCACAACTTCTCACTCCAGGGTGAGGGAGGTTGGACAAAACACAGAGGTTCATTCTGGGCGTGGGTGCATCCTGCCACCCTCCATCTCTGCCTGAGGCAAGCTAAATAATAGCCCTATCCCAAAAGATGTCCACTTCCTAATCCCCAGAAGCTATGAATTTTTTTTATAGAGATGGGGTCTCGCTACGTTGCCCAGGCTGGTCTCAAACTCCTGTGCTCAAGCCATCCTCCAGCCTCCACCTCTGGGACTACAGGCAGGTGCCACCATGCCCAGCTTAACCTGTGAATATTTTATCTTAAATGGCAAAAGTGACTTTGAAGATATGATTAAATCAAGGATCTTGAGATGGAAATATGATCATGATGGATTGTCCCAGTGAACCCCATGTAATCCTTACAAGAGAGAGACAGGAGAATTAGAGAGATGTAGGGATGGAGACAGAGGTCAGAGAGAAGAGAAGGTGTTATGCTGTCGGCTTTGAAGATGAAGGAAAGAGCCATGAACCAAACAGTGCAAGCAGCTTCTAGAAGCTGGAAAAGGCAAGGAAAGATTCTCCCTTAGATCCTCCAGAGGGAATGTAGGCCTGTCAACACTTTGACTAGTCCAGTGAAACTGATTTTGGATTTCTGACCCCCTGAACTGTAAGATATGAAATTTGTGGTTGTTACAGCAGCAACAGGAAACTAATACCCTGCCCCTGCTGCTGGGCAGCACTCACTAACCTGTTCTACTAGCAAAGTAAGGTCTATGTGAATACCGGGTGAAGGGGAGGATCAGAGAAGACCTCCTGGAAGTCCCTACAGTAAAAGTGAGCTCACTCATTACCTGTCTGACAATAGGCTGTTAACAATGCATTTGTTTTTTTGTTTGTTTGTTTAAGACAGAGTCTCGCTCTGTTGCCCAGGGCTAGAGTGCCGACCTTACAGCAACCTCAAACTCCTGGGCTCAAGCAATCCTGCTGCCTCAGCCTCCCGAGTAGCTGGGACTACAGGCATGCACCACCATGCCCAGCTAATTTTTCTACATATATTAGTTGGCCGCCAATGCATTGTTTATAGGATTGCTAAGAATTAAAAATGTTTTGTACCCTAAAATCAAAGTCTGGGAAAAAAAAAAAAGAAAAAAAAATGTTTTAGATTACCTAATTGAAATATATATGACCAACTTTTATTTTTAAGACACATCTCCTTGTGGGTGACTCCATGCATCGAACAAGAGTCAATGAACAGCCAGTGCATGTCTAGCACCATACACACAACGAGTTTGTTTCCATTACAACACCCAAGCATTTCTCACTGAACCTGCCACTGAGCTTCCAGTTAGCTCAGTGCTCAACTTCACCCCTATCGTCAATGCAGGCCCTTACACCTGCCCACTCTCATGACCTTGTGTCCCCTTGATGGGCTCATCCCAGCCAGCGCCACCCCTTACCCTCCCAGGCGCTGCTTCTGCAGCTGCCACGAGCAGTCTCATCTCGGCCTTCACCCTGAGCCCTGACAAAAGCCCCCAGTGCACTTGGAGGGCAGTGTGCTCCCTCTGATCATGTTTTCTACATCCTGTTTTCATCTCATTCTCTCTTGTCTCTCTGCATCTCTCCCTTTTTGTCCCTTCTCCTTCTTTAAGCCCCTCCCTATAACCCAGCAAAAAGTCTAAGCTAACAGAAGAACTGAGCCCCAACCAGCCAATCTAGAGGCAGGTGGGAGGAACCAAGGATGCGGGTTTATTGGATTTCTCTAGTAGTGAACTGGAGCCTACGCTATTCAGACAGGATGCCCAGACCCACCTGGACTACCCAGGCAGCCTCACTCACCCCACCTCTCTAGCCCCTCAACACTCTCAGGTACCTAAACTGACCTGTAATTCACTGACCCATGGAGCCCCCGCCCCTGCCACCTCTGCAAGATCTGAATTTCCTAATTTCACAGTTCCCCAACCCTGCTTCCACTGCTAACCTCCAGGTCTGAAATGCTGAGCTCTGCTCCCTTGATGTCTAGACCTACTAGCCCTCCTTCCCAGAAAAAATGGTCGAGGATTGATTTTCCTCCTATCTGCAGTACAGACTATGCACCCTACACCTAGTCCAGGCCCAGAGTTCTCTTTCCTCAGAGCCTGTAACTCTTTCTCTAAAGACTGAGCTGCCTCTTTAGGGAGTGCTGAGAGCTCAAACATTACAATGGGGGAAAATTGCTTTCAGTCCCTTTGGGCTTTGGTGGTGTTGGCCGGGAACAGTCTGGCCAAATGATGCTGTGGGCATGTAGGCAGGCAATCTGAGTTCTCTAACCCGGGCATTGCCACAGATTTCTAATGGGTGAGATTAGGCAACTCTATGCCCTTTCTAGACCTGTCTCACTAACCTTCTGTGCGCTGAGGGGGCTGGTCTTCTGGAAGGCTATATATAATATTATCTGATTTTGGAGGTTCCACAAAGCAACCCCGGCAATGGTGCATAATGGCCACAAGGGGGCGGGCAACTTCTTCAGCTCAGAAGTTTGCAGCCTAAAGGGAAAAAGTGAGCAGCTGGCATGGTGGTACACACCTCTGGTCCCAGCTCCTCAGGAGGCTGAAGTGGGAGGATCACTTGAGCCCAGGAGTGCCACTGCACTCCAGACTGGGCAACACAACAAGACCCCATCTCTAAAAAAAGAAAAAGTGGGCCTCAAACAGGAATACTATATAATGGTTTCCAAGAGGAAAGGTAGTTACCCAAGGGCACACCACGAAATGGCAACAGTAGGGACTGGAATAGGGTATTCGAATCCCCAGTCTCAGGGGAAGTCAGGAACTCCCAGACCATGAGAAATGGTAAGTACAAGTCTTGTGGGCAGCATGGAAGAGGCTGAGAATATACTTGGAGATTTCAATCATTTGAGGGTCTGGGAAAGGGAAAGAGGGTCTTTGGGGCGGGGCCATGACTCCATGTATTGCTCCAGAAGGACTGGGTGGGAGTTGCAAAACAAGACTTGAAGAGTTTAGAGGAAGCAGACATGATCAGCTAGCTTCCTTCCCTTCCCCAACATAGAATGAAAAGTAGGGGAATAGCAAGAGTTATTCCAGGATTTGGGGAAGACTCCAACAATGCAGGAGGACACAGTTAACAGCCAAAGATCATCTGACATCCTTTTTCCTCCTTTTTTCCTCCACTCATCTAGTTTCAGGGCCCAGGAATGACAAGGACTAACATATGGAGCAATTACCTGGGTTTAAAGGATTAATTTCCAAGAATTCATTCCCTGACATTAGCCACAGCCCTTGTCCCATGCTCTGGACCTGTCCTCTCTCTGAGCCCCAGGTTGGCAGCTTCCCTGAATTCCTTCCCTGATGCCATTCAGTAGGGCCCTGGGACCCAGGCCCAGAGCCAATACCCTGCTCCCTCCTCAGTTCCTAGGAGTCAAGGGCTTGCTCTAAGAAGGAAGGAAAGAGGCCTTTCCCCTGTTCCCTCCCCCTTCCCCTAGGATGGGACCCAGAAACCAAAGAGCCTTTGTCTTGCCCTGCCACGCCCCCACATTGTAGCCCAGACAAGGGGATTCCTTGTATCCCAACCTCAGGCGGGCATCCTTGTGACCAAATGGTGGAAGGCCGGTGACAGCATGGGGGAAGGGTAGTCACAAAGTCAAAGAAGACACCACCCCCATCCAAGATTCCAAGATTCTGGTATAACCCCAGAGCTCTGAGACCCAGAGCTTCTCCTTCCCTGGCTCCCATTAACAGTAGAGACTCATCTACATATAAAAGGCCCAAGGCCCAAAGAGGAAACTGAGAAGGTGTGGAGACACAGAGGCTGGCCTGCTGGCAGGCAGACTTGCAGCCAGAGCACAGGAATGGGGGCATCCCAGGTGTTGGGCAAGGCAGGCGGCCAAACAGACCTGAGAGCCCTAAGTGGAAGCCCCTGACAGTTTCTCACCATGGGGACAGGAGTGCTGGCATCAGAGATGTGGCCACAGAGGAAGTGAGATCTCCTAGGATAAAATGAGAATAGACCCTTTAAAAAGTAAGAACCTTCTGAAAAGCAGCACAAATATCTGACAGTGAGAAACTTTCCTGCCAGGAGGGGTGATATGTTCCCACTAGAAGTAATGGTTTGAACAATAAATGGCACAATCTCACTTAGCAGCAAGGGCTCAGGCACCTTCATACTGACCTATCACCATCCAAGGACGGGTACAGAGGAAGGGCTAGGGCCGTCCTAGCTGGAAATGACATCACTCAGCAGACTGGAAGGGGTAGGCCCACCAACCCCAAAGGCCTCTGGGAGGGCCAATCCATTGAGGGTTGGCCCTGAATGTCCATGTCCCTCGTCAATCCTCCATCTTGGCCAAGAGCGGTGGGCCAAGGTTCCTAGACTTTGGGTGAGGTAATTACACTCCCACATCTTCCGTGATCTCCTGAGGGGTCCTAAATTCCTTTATTGTTACTTGGTGGCTGGGGAGGAGGAGGGGGGAGCTATTGTCACACTAGGAGCCATAGGCCAATCCTCTAGAGTCAATATCTCTATAGAAATAGCTCAAAGGACCCAATAATTGAGGGATAAAGGCTGAGATTCCCTAGGGACCAGAGGGCGATCAGCCAGGTTTCCATGGTAACTAATTTCAGTGTAGCTTCTTCCCGTCCTAGGTTGAGGGAGCATAAATTTTGAGGGCGACAAGGGCTAAGAGATGAAAGAGCCACAGGAATACAAAAGGGTGGAAAAGTTGTTACAAGAAGGTCACATCATCCTGGCATGGCTCCCAGTACCAGTGGGCCTCGAATCCCAGATTGGCACTCTCGTCCTCTGGTGACTCAGGTGGTCCACCTTGGAGCCCCTCCCCTGGGGGCTTCCACATAGCCCTGAAGCTCCCTAGCCTGGTGGCCGTCAGGTCCACCTCAGTCCTGCCCCTTTCCCCACCAGGTGTAGCCTTTGCCCAGTCCACCTCGGGACGGGGAGCCCCAGGGGGGGCCTGTTCATCCAGCTCACTGGGGACCACCGTGTCCAGAAAGCTGCCAAGAGAGACACTGTCCAGCCGGTCGGTGCAGCTGGTGTCTGGCAGGCTGTCCCAGCTGCCTCGCCTTGAGCGGCCGGGGCTCCCGCCGGTCAGGCTATACTGGCTGCTGGTGAGGCTGCTACAATGGCTGGTCAACGTCCCCCGCTCCTCCAACAGCCAGCGCACGGCCTCGATGCCCTCGTTCAAGGTCACCAGCTGCTGCAGGATCTTCACATCGATGGCTCGCAGGTAAGCCTGGGGGAGTGGGAGAAGGAATTAGTCCCAGGTTTCCAGGTCGTGGGTTTCCTCAGTGTTTTCCAGACGCCCCGACCTTGTGGTCCAGTAAATTATGCTTTGCTTTCAAGAAGCACAGAAAGGTAATGGTTTGGAGTGTGGGCTTTAGAAGTAGACAGACTGCTGTTTCAAATTTCTTATCTTCTTTCAGCCTCAGTTTCCTTGTTTGTAAAACAGCGCTAAATCACTTACCTCACAGAGTGGCTGTGAGGACTTTAAAATGCTGTCTATTAAGTACTCAGCAAAGTGCCTGGCACAGAGTAAGGTCTCAGTAAATGTTAAGTATTAAAATCTGATCCCATTAAGCTTTGAATTTCCTATTTAGGGTATTAACTATTGAAGCCATCCAGATTCCCCAGAAAGTCTTTGAAACAGCCAAAGAATAGCCAGATAGGGTGTTGATTGGGCCAAAGGTGGCAGGAGCTGGGGAATAATGAGGGACCTAACCTGGTTTCCTAGTCCCTTCAGTGTTTCAGTAGCAGCTGCTGGGAGAGGAAAGGATTGGCCATAACTTAGAAGGCTCAGAATCCCACTGGCTGAGCATTCAGGGCTTCCCTCCACTGCACACTGGAAGTATTAGTTTGACTTACTGGGTAATCTCCAGGGTCCCTTGCAGCTCAATGCATTGAGTTCCCTTTTCCAAGTACAAGTCTGAACCTGTCCCTGCCCTGCTCAAGAGACTTTAGGGGCTCTGTACTTCTCTTAGAGAGCATGGAATCCTAACCACTAGACCACCAAGGAACTCTGCCCTGCTGTTAGAGAACAAAATCCATACCCTTTAGCAGTGGGCATTCAAAAGCCTGTCACAATATGGCTCTTGCCCATCTCTCTAGCTTCACCTCTAGAACACTTCCGTAAGAACTCAAGGTTCCACCACAAATTACTTTTTAAAATTAGTTTTAGTTTTATGTTTAATAAAAGTAACAGATGCACACACATTAAAGAGACAAATAGTTCTACGACATGAACATGAGCAGTTCCCCCTTCCTAGTTCTAAATCCTACTTCCAAGAGACAGCTATTATTTTTTAGCTGTTTATTTTGGTATCTACCTCCTAATCTCCAAATGACATTCTTACATTGCTACTTCTTGATATTTAGGTTTTAGGCATTTTTCTATTGACTTCCCACACTACAGAAGGTTAAGGATTTAACTTTCATGCCACTCCCCACTCCTCTGCTGTACAGATGCCTTTCCCACCTTCCATCCTCCCAACAGGCAATAAAAGTATTCAGTGTTTACCTTATTAGAATTTGGAAATGCCATTCACAGCTAAGCCATATAGTTTACTACAGTTACTTTTGATTTCTGTAAACTTCCTGTGTTCCTTAGAATTATTATTATTTTGCTTAGTTTGCTATGTAGTTATCAGTAAGTTATCCTCTAACTCTCCCCACTTTTGTCTGAACTTCCCTCTCAAGTCTTTCAGACACAGTACATGTTCTATCTACTCCATCTTCTTAGAGCCATCTCATAAGGAATCTTCTGATCTGCTCCAATCTGTCTCTGCTGGGATTGTCCTCCAGTGATTTCCCTTTATTCTCTTCTTGGGAATTTCTTTGCCTCTTTTCTGAGCTGAATCTCATGTTTCTTCTTCTTTCTTGATTCACCCCTTCATTTGGGTGGGTGGCACTCTCCCTCCAGTAGTATCCTGAGAAAGTCTGCATAAGAGGTAAATTTGTCGAAGCTCTGTGTGTTTTTAAATATTCCCTCCTAACACTATTGATAGTTTGGCTGGGTATAGAATTCTAGGTTGAAAATGTTTCCCCAGAATTTAAGACATGTTCCATTGTCTTTTTTTTTTTTTTTTTTTTTGAGACAGAGTCTCGCTTTGTTGCCCAGGCTAGAGTGAGTGCCGTGGCATCAGCCTAGCTCACAGCAACCTCAAACTCCTGGGCTCAAGCAATCCTCCTGCCTCAGCCTCCCGAGTAGCTGGGACTACAGGCATGCGCTACCATGCCTGGCTAATTTTTTTTTTCTATATATATTAGTTGGCCAATTAATTTCTTTCTATTTATAGTAGAGACGGGGTCTCGCTCTTGCTCAGGGTGGTTTTGAACTCCTGACCTTGAGCAATCCACCCGCCTCGGCCTCCCAGAGTGCTAGGATTACAGGCGTGAGCCACCGCACCCGGCCTGTTCCATTGTCTTTTAATTTTCAGTGTTACATTTTAAAAGTATGATGTTATTCATATTCCTGACCCCTTATATATGACACTTTTCTCATTCTTATTGGAAGTTTTAGCATTTTCTCTCTCTTCCCAGTGTTCTAAGTTTTCACAGAAATTTGCCATGGTATAGGTCTATTTTCATCCATTGAGTTAGCCACTCGATGGGCCCTTTCAATCTGGAAACTTATGTCCATCAGTTCTGGGGAGAATTTCTTTAATTATTTCTTTATTATTTATCCTCCAATATTTTTCTATTCTTTCTGGGAATTCTATTATTTGGATGGAGGATGTCCTGGACTAATCCTCCATTTTTTTTCTCTCATCCATCTTTCTATTTTTTTATTTTTTTGGAGACAGAGTCTCACTTTGTAGCACTCTGGGTTAGAGTGCTATTGGGTCATTGTAGCTCATAGCAACCTCAAACTCCTGGGCTCAAGGGATCCTCCTGCCTCAGCCTCCCAAGTAGTTGGGACTATAGGCATGCACCACCATGCCCAGCTAATTTTTTCTATTTTTTTTTTTTTTTTTAGTTGCCCAGCTAATTTCTCTCTATTTTCAGTAGAGATAGGGTTTCACTCTTGCTGAGGCTGGTCTCAAACTCCTGACCTTAAGCAATCCTCCTGCCTCAGCCTCCCAGAGTGCTAGGATTACAGGTGTGAGCCACCATGCTTGGCTTCTTCCATCTTTCTATATTTGCTCTAGTTTCTGAAATACTTCAACATTATCAACTCTTTTGAGTTTTTCTCTTTTTTTCTATCATGTTTTTTTCCCAAGTGTTATTGGAACATTCTCTGAATGTTTTCCTTTTTTATATCTTCCTGTTTTTGTTCATGGCTGCAATATTATCTTTTATCTCTCTAAGGATATGATTAATGATTTTTATAAGTTCTCATATCCCTCTCTTATCTCTATTTCATTCAAGTTGCTTTTTTTCTGTTTAGGTCTATATAATTAGAGGGTCAGATGTTTATGATCTTTAACTATTGCTCATACTTCTGAGTGGCTCTCTATAATGATTGGAAACTCTGAACCTCACTATAGGGTGATCTGATTGAATTGTTTGATTAGTGAAGTTCTAAAGTCAGCATCTCTTTTCTCCTCTTGAATTCATCATATTCTGCATATTATACCCATCTAGAGAGTATAATTTAAGTAAAGCTGCCAATATTCTAGGAGCCAAGTAGAGGTAAAGGCTAGCAAGGGTATTTCATAATATATAGTACATTTTTATTTAATCCCTCTTGCCCTCAACTGTGCTTAGTGTCTCCCAACCTGGGGACCTTCTGTTCTATTTTATACATATATACACAGTCACACATAGCTTAACAACTGGGATATGTTTTGAGAAATGTATCATTAGGCAATTTCATCATAGAGTATGAATATCATGGGGTGTACTTACACAAACCTAGGTGTCCCAGCACCATTACTGAATATCAATCATTTATTTACCCTACTTGATCTGTAATGCCAATATCAAGAGTCACGTATCAGGTTTCTATATATGCTCTATGCTCCATTATAATCTTATGGGACCACTGTTGTACATGCAGTCCATTGTTGACCAAAACATCATTATGTGGAGCCTGACTGTATACATACACACACGATAAATGTTTGATACATGTTTATTGTACTTGAACAGTATTTAGTTAATTATTCAGGAAATAATTGCTTTACTCACATCTACAATGATAACCCAGAGTCAGACCAAGTATTTATATACTGAGAAAAATCAGGCACTGGAATTAGACCTAGATTCAAATTCCAGTTCTGCCATTAATGACCCATATGAAATTGGAATTTTTTTCTGTAAACTTCATTTATTATAATATGAGGATACTATCTAATTTAAAGGTTTATCATGGCTGGGTGCAGTGGCTCAAACCTGTAATCCTAGCACTTTGGGAGGCTGAGGCAGAAGGATCACTTAAGGTCAGGAGTTCAAGACCAACCTAAGCAAGAGCGAGACCCTGTCTCTACTAAAAATAGAGAAAATTAGATGGGCATGGTGGCACATGCCTGTAGTCCCAGCTACTCGGAAGGCTGAGGCAGGATGATTGCTTGAGCCCAGAAGTTTGAGGTTGCTGTGAGCTAGGCTGAAGCCATAGCACTCTAGCCTGGGCAACAGAGCAAGACTCTGTCTCAAAATAAAAAAATAAAATAAAATAAAATAATTTAAAAAAAATTATCATGACAAATGGAGGGAACATATTAATGTGCATAGCATGCCATATGACAAGTATTAATAAATGGTAGCTATTGGGCTCTACATATTACTATGGTCAACTTATTTACTAAGTGTGATATTATACATACAGAGAAACATATACATATATAAGTTTTTATCCATGGTTCCTGGCTCATAACTCCCATAGCCTTTGTTATAGTCTCTAGTTATAATGTTGGGGTGCTTTAGGCCTCAGCAACAGGCCTCAGGATCTCTTTCTCCGACTTTTTCCTGCTCTCCTTTCACCTGCCCAAGGCAGGATTCTAATCTGACTATGGGTGATAAGACCCTCATTCCAGGGAGGGTCCTGCCTCATACCCTGGACAAAGGAATGCTGCACAGAGAGGCCTAGAAGAATCTAAACAGACGGGCCTTGTGAGTTTAGCCTATACCCTCTTTGTTCAATCACATTTCAACACAGTGTCCATGCTTCATTTATAGACAACCAATAAAGTCTCCATAAAAGTCCCAAAGGACAGGGTTCAGGGAGCTTCCAAGTACCTGAACACATGAAGGTTCCTGGAGGGTGGCATGCCCAGGTAGAGCACAGAAGCTCTGCAC